GAGAATTTTTTTTTTAAGTGATTCTTAGAAGGTCCCATTCATCTATTAATTTCTCTCCTGGTTGTAGATTTTTCATGATGATTTGAAGGCTATTCTTACTATGGATTAGGGCTTCTAGAGTTCTTCCAAGCTTTTCTCTGATGAAATTAATGGTCTTTGGTTTTACTCCTACGTCCTTGATCCACCTTAAGTGGGTTTGATGTATGGTGTGAGGTGTGGGTATTGCTTAATTTTTCTGTAGATGGTTTTCCAATTTTGCCAACATCATTTGTTAAGATCTATGTCTTTTCCCCACTCAACTAATTTTGTCTCCTTGTCAAATATTAGTTGATCATAGGTAGATGAGCTGATTTCTGGGTCCTCAATTTTATTCTATTGATCTATGTGTCTGTTACTATACTAGTATTATTCTGTCTTGACCACCATGGCAGTGTAGTAGGATTTGTTTCTCTTTTTCAGGATTGCTTTACTTATTCAGAGATTTGGTGTTTGGGTTTTTGTTTTTTTTTAAATTGAGATTTTAATGAAAGTTTATAGAAAACTCAGATTTCCATTTATTCATTATTGCACATTTCCCTCCTTGCCCACCCCTCCCCACTAGTTCTCTTTTCTCTTGGAAAAAAAAAATCTTTCATTGTTATACAACCCTTCCTCCCCCAATCCACTTTACTGTGGACTTATTCTGAATTTTTCTCATGCAAATAACACCCAATTATATATTTATTTTAAGCAGTTCTATCCCTCATCTGTTTTAATGCAGTGTGCATTATCTATCCCCTCTTTTCTTAGTTTCCCCACAAGCCCAGTGTTTGATTACAGTGGCATTATGCAGTATTTGTCCTTTTGTGACGGATATTTCACTCAGTATAATGTCCTCCAGGGTCACCCATTTTGAATAATATTGTATGAGTTCCTTGGTTTTCAATGCTGCATTCCATTGTGTAAATAAATATATTTCCGCTTCTCTGTTCATTTGTTGATGGTCACTTGGGTTGTTTCCAACTGTTTGTTATTGTGAACAAAGCAGCAATAAACATGGATGTGCATATATATGCTTGGGTGGCAGTTATGGTTTCTTTAAGGTATATTCCCACTAGTGGAATTTCTTGGTCAAAAGGTATTCTTATTTCTGCCTTCCATAGTGGTTGCACCATTTTACACTCCCACCAACAGTGAATAAATATTCCAGTTTGCCCACAACCTCACCAGCATTTGTTGTTTGCTGCTCTGTTGAATTTTGCTATTCTGACTGGGGTGAGATGATATCTCATAGTTGTTTTGATTTGCATCTCTCTTAGAGCTAGGAATTTTGAACACTTCCTCATATGTTTGTTTGCTATATGAATGTCTTCTTTGGTGACATGTCTGTTCATATCCTGTGCCCATTTTGCAATTGTGCATTTTTTAAAAATTGCATTTTTAAACAATTATTTGCAATAAATAAATCATTAATTATATAAAATTCAGTAGTTTCATCTCCAGCCTCTTTTCTGTTACCAAGCCTGTAATTTCTTTCCTTGTGTTTTAGTTTGTGTGAGTCCAATTTTATTGAAAGCCAAATAAATACAGTATATAAAAATATACAAACTCCAGAAATCTGACTGCTAAAAATTGGTCACAAATTATGCTTTTTTACAAAGAAATTTAATTTTTCTGTTGTGTACATCAAGTTGGAATCGGTCCATGACTAACCCTCTCTCTGGTGGGTTTTCAGAGGTGGTTAATTGCATAGGAAGAGATTTGTCCATCCTTCTTCCATCGTGCAGCTGGTATTCTCAAACCATGCTCCTACCAAGTCTGTATTTTCTGACTATCATTCTTTCTTCTTTGTTTCCAACTTTTGTATTCCAGTCACCAATTATTATTAATTATCTGTATTTCATTTTCTCTCAATTTCAGACCATTGAGCTGGTGGATGTCCTCAATATCTTCTCTTTTGGCTTTAGTTGTTGGTGCGTATATTTGAATATTAGTTATATTAACAAATCTTTCTTCTATTTGTATGGATAGTATATTATTATTCATGGCATTTCACTTCAAAATGTAGTTGTTGTATGCAGTTAAATTGGAACCAACCCATAGCTAATCCTCTAGTGAGTTTTCAAAGGCAGTAAATCACATGAGAGGAGATCACCCAACTTTCTCCCACTCCTAACATTGTGCTCAGAGAATAATACTTCAAAATAGATATTGAAAAATTCTTTTTGATTGTGAATGCAGTACCATTATTCCTTAATTTGTCTCTCTCAGCATAATCACATAGTTGTCTGATTCAAAGTGGCCATTGCTGGTCCATCTCAGTTTACTATTGCCTTGGTTGCTGATATATATGTAATCCATTTAATTTTTTTTACAACTTCCAATTTTCCTAGATTCATACTTCATGCTTTCCATGTTCCAATTATTAATGAATGTTTGCAAATATTTTTCCTCATTTTAGTGTCTTCCAACATTCTGCTTCCAGTACCACACCTAACAATGATCCTCTGTTATTGATAGTATTTTTGAAAGCCATAGCACTTCTTTCTGATCCTCTACTCCTTATCTTTCTTGAAAGTGTATGATATTTACTTTGAAGGGCACCCTATTTAGATTTCTTAAATCTTTGTGCTCAATATACATCAAAAGTCACTGAGATATTCTCCAGTTCCAGTGATTATATGTTTTGACCTAAAAATCCATTTAACAAGTTTAACAAACAATTTTTTCTTTGTTCTGAAACTCAAAGGAGTTTTTAGAGATGCAATTTGGTTGATGAAACATTAGAATTTCTAGTACCTTGATAGTTGTTTTAGAAAAATATATAACAGAAAATATATAACTGGAAGCAGAATGTTGGAAGATTAAGTCCCTGTAGGCATCAAAATCTTTTTTAAAATAGGGTGAAAAGAAAGCCTACCGAGTGGGAATAAACATTTGTCAATACCATTTCGGATAAGGGACTCATAACAAAAGTTTACAGAATACTCTTGGGCCTCCAGAAGAAAAAGACTGATTAACTGAATTACAAAATGGGGAAATGATGTGGAAAGCCTTTTCACAGAGGAAAACATTCAGATGGTCAACAGATATATGAAGACATGCTCAAAATCACTGGCAATAAGAGACATGTAAATCAAAACCAAATTAAACACCATCTTACTTCAGTAACAGTACAAAGTTTATTGGGGCAGCAAGCAATACATGTTGGAGAGGATGTGGAGAGGTGGGAACTCTCATACACCATTGGTGGGATTGTAAAATGGTATAACCACTCTGGAAGACAGTTTAGAGTTTCCTCAAGATGTTGAACATAGAAACTCTGTATGACTTGCTATTTCACTACTAGAAATATACCCCAAGGAAATTAGAATTGAGACACAAATGGATATTTGTACATCAGTCTTCATAGTACCATTAGTCACTACCACAATAACATGGAAACAGCCCAAATGTCCAGCCACAACTGAATGTACTGAGAAAGTATGGTACAGTCACACAATGAAGTACTATGCAACACTCAAGGGTAACAATTTTTAAAAACACTACATAACTTTGGAGAGGTTGGAAAACATTATATTGAGTGAACTAACTCAATAACATAAGGACAAACACTGCATAAGGCCATTTTTCTAAAGAAGGATAATTAGTAAAACATGTATGGGAGTTCAAGGGGGAAAGGGTGGGAGTGAAGGGCTGAGGATATGTAGGGGCAAAACCAGAGAGTTTCACAGTTTGGTGGATGGGGGGAAGGGGGAAGAAAATAAGAAGGATCTGGGTGAAAAGACAAGGTAATGATGAGCAAAGTCAATGGTGACTAATTTTATAGAACATAATGCATGAGAATGATTGTATGAAACACAATGTGAATGAAGAATAGTGTGAAACACAATTTATATGAACTTTGTAAGCAAACCAATATGAAAAAACCAGTTAAAAAAACACAAACAAACCCCAAAACATCAAAAAATTCTTATATCCTTGCTGTTAGGTACTGTAAAGAGATCTTTGACAGCAGTTTTTCCAAATAATCTCCACCTTGCTCAAATCTTTTATTGCAGTTACTATGTCAATCTACCTTCTTGAAAATCTTCTTTTCTCTCTATGACTCCACCTTTCCCAGCATGGTGTCATTTTCCAAGGAGTGATCTCTCCTGACAACACATCCAAAATATGTGAATTGATGTCTCACCATCTTTGCCTCCAAGGGGTACTCTGGTTGCTCTTCCTCCAAGATAGATTTGCTTATCCTTTTGGCAGTCCGTGGGATATTCAATACTCTTTGCTAACACCATAATTCAGAGATATTGATTCATTTTGTGACTTCCTTCTTGGCTGCTAATTCCTCTGCTATGCCTTTTACACATATCATTCAATTTAAGTCTCACAGCAATGCAATGCGGCAAGACAAGACCTAGAGATATAGTCTTATAAAGATTAAAGTCTGAGAAGCTCCATAGAGAAAGTTTTCCACTAGCCTGTAGGGTTGTTGTGAACCAGTATTGGCAGGACACCCCACAACAACAGCAGCATGCCGCAGGGCTCCCTCATGGGAGAGGACATGAGAGCTCGAGGTGTCCAGATCACTGGGACTACAAGCCTAACAATTGAAGGCCCCATAGCAACAAATGCCCTCTTGCCTCTTCTCCAAACCATTCAGCTGTCTGCTCTTGATGGACAGAAGCATTTGGCTGCTAAAAATATCCCAGTGATCAAGAGCTCCTTATTCCAACTACAGCCAGGCTTAACAGGAGCCCGTTAATTGACATCTACACTTTCTTCTCACAAAAAGGAACTTTCCCAAAGTTTTCAAGCCCAATCCTACAGCCACACTGGCTCCTAATCACACTCGGCTCTGCCCACTTTCCTCAGGGATAAGGGGGTCTTTCCTAAAGAACTACCCTTTTCTGCCTCCAGAAAGAGTAGTGGGGGGAGGAGGAGTGATAGGGGGAGGTGAGAGCCCAGTGGCTGAGCAGGACAGGGAAGGGGAGGTGATGTGACCATTTATAGTCTTGCTCTTTGGGAAACTGAAGGTGCTTAAATAGAAGCAAGAACGAAAGCCTTGTCTCAGTGTAAAATATCTCCCTGGAGCTGACCTAAAGGATTCTGAGAGGCACATAGGGAATGGAGAACCTGGAAGTCTTCACGTCTGAGGACAAAGGCCGGGGTCTGAAGGCCACTAAAGAGTTCTGGGCTGGAGATGTCATCTTTGCTGAGCGGGCTTATGCTGCAGTGGTTTTTGACAGGTATGACAAATAGGGAGTTAAGTGATGCCAAATTATAAAATCTTATTCTTAAAACCATCAGGGGAAAGGAGTAAAATCCATGTGATCACTCATTTTAAACAAAAAAACATTAGATAGCCAATTGTCTCCTGGCAACGACTTCTTGCAAGAAGTCATTGCTAGTTTGGGTGGCTTGGTCTCCAGAGGTCAGTTATAAAGAGAGGAGAGTGCTTTGGGGCACCTTTCACGCAATACTGGTGAACTTCCTCAAGTGGGTGTGTTGTGTGGTGGGGACAGAAAGAAATGGTGTGGAAGGGTAGATGTTTGAAAATACAGGTTTCATTTGGTTGTAGTACAGGGTTGAGATCTTATTAAATAAACTATTATTTTTGATTTTTTTTTAGTATAGGAACTTTTTCTTTTACAAGATTTTGATATCTTGCAGCTTCTGGCAGGTTTATTTTACAATCTCACTTTTAATAGTGCAACCAGTGCAAGCAAAAAATAATCATAATAAAATGTGTACTTCAGAAAATGCTACAAGCCTGTTGTTTCTTAAGCTATTGAATTTTAATGTAATAATTTAGGTCTTCTCTGTGCTATTACTGTACACTTGTACTGTAGCTTTGCATTTAATGCCTGTATCTCTTCTCACATCCTTCCTACTTGATTCATAAATTGTTTACATATTGTTATAAAGTGTTCATTGTTCATCAAAGTGATCACTACTAAAACATTCTGTACATTGCATGTTGCATTACTATTATGATGGTAAGGAAAGTTAGGATTATTTGAGGAAGTAATCTTTAAAATGATAGTAAAAACTTCAAAGGAAATAAGCTCTTAAAAGTAACTTCTTCAAACTCACCACTTCCCAGAAGCTGGGTACCTGCTACTGTGGGGTCCACTTGAGAGGGGCTGGAGAGACATCAGTCAGATAAAGTTTGTTGTTGTTATGTGCCGTCTAGTTGCCTGTGACTCATAGCGATCCTATGTACAACAGCCCTAAGCCCTGCTCTATCCTGGGCCAGTCTCACTGTTTCCAACACTCAGACACACCTCCCCACATTACCCCAGTCACTGAAACAATCCATCTCATAGAGAGTCTTCCTCTCCTGCACTGTCTCTTCACCCTCCCAAGCATGACATCCCTCTCCAAGGACTGGTCCCTCCTTGCAACATATCCAAAGCATGTTAGAATCCTTGTCTCCAAGAAGCAGCCTGGTTTAACCCTCTCTAGGATGAACATGTTTGTTTTCTTAGCAGTCCATGGTATATTCAATACTCTTCTCCAACACCACAGCTCAAAGGCATCAATTTTCCTATCCTCCCTAGTCATTGTTCAGCTCTCTGACACATAGCAAGTGATTGCAAAGACCATGGCCTGTTATCAGGTGCACCTTTGTCTCCAGAGTGACATCATTGTCGTTGCCAATATTTTTAGTCCCTTCTGGTATATGGTATATGTGATATTTGACTGAGAGTGTAGGACTGAGTCACTCATGCTATTGTTGTTGTTGTTTAGTGCTTTAGAGTTGAGTCTGATTCATAGTGACTCTATAATCACAGATCTGAACCCTGTCCTATCCTGTGCCATCCTCATCTTCTCTGACGTACTTGAATCCTTTGCTGCAGTCACTATGTCAACCCATCTCTTTGAGGATCTTCCTCTTTTCACCAACCCTCCACCTTTCCTAACACAACATTCCTTTCCAAGGAATAGCTTCTCTTAGCAACAAGCCCAAAGTATGTGGGATGAAGCTTCACTTTGTCTTTAAGGAGAACTCTGTCTGCACTTTCTCCAAGACATGTTTGTTTATACGAGTCATCTACAACTCCACGACACCTAACAGCAACAACAACAATATAAAATCTTCTGAATCTTGCTTTAACTCTGGCCATTCCCTATCTATATACTACTCTAGCCATTTTTAAATGATCTTCAGTAATATTTTGCTTGTATGTGATATCAATGATATTGGTCTATAGTTTCCAAGTTCTGTTGGATCTCTTTTCTTGGGAATGGGAACAAATATGGACCCCTTCCAATTCATTGGCCAGACAGCTGTCTTCTAAAGTTCCTGGCATATACTGATAAGCACATCCCACGCAGAATCTGTTCATTAAAACAAGTCAATTGGTATCCCATTGATTCCCGAGTCTTAATTTTTTTGCCAAAGCCTTCAATGCAGCTTCCACTTCCTCCTTCATTACCATTGGTTCCTGTTCATATGGTACTTTCTGAATTTTTTCAGTGTCAATCAGTTCTTTTTTGGTATAGTGATTCTGTGTATTCCCTCCAACTTCTTTTGATGCTTTCTGGGTCATTCAATATATTGCCCATAGCACCTTTCAATATTGTGACTTTAGGCTCACATTTGTTTTTTTAGTTCTCTCATCTTGAGAAATGCAGAGCAAGTTCTTGACTTTTTATTCTACAATTCCTGCTCTCTGCACATTTCAATACTTTGTCATCTCAAGATGCCCTTTGAAATCTTCTCTTTAGCACTTTTACTTTAGCAGGTTTTCCCTTCTCCATACTCTGGTGAAAATTTTAGAGTCTCTTTTGACACTCATTTCTGCTTTTTATTTCTCCTCTGTCTTTGTAATGATCTTTTGCTTTCTTCATGGATATTACTTTTATATCATCCCATAACTCATCTGGTCTTGATCATTGATGTCCAATGCTCAAAACTTACTCTTATGATGATCTTAAAATTAAAATGGAATACATTCAAGATCATATTTTGGTTCTCATGGACTTCTTTTCATTTTCTTGGGCCTCAATTTAAACTTGCACATGAGTAATTGATGGCCTGACCCATAGTCCACCCCTGGCCTAGTTTTGACCTCCAATATTGACCTTCTCCAACGATTCCTTACACAGATGTAGTCAATCTGATTTCTAATGAGATATCATTTCACCCCAGTCAAAATAGCAAAATTTA